ATCTTCAGGTGGTCATATCTATCTTTCAAATTATTCCACAGTATGACTGGATCTTTAACAGTAAGATATTCCATTTTCAGGCCCTCATCAAGGTGATGGCGTAGGAATATCATTGCTTTGGCACGGTCTTGGTTTGATGCCTGATTTTTATCTTTGATGGTGTCTGCCAGACCCATCGCATCAAGATGAATTTCGGCATCAAGCACCCAAGACATGTAGCTTTTGCCCGATATATCCAGGGCTACAAACTCAAGTTTAGAAAGATTTGACATTATTTAGAAAAAGAAAGTCCGTACCTCTGATACTTTCAAAGTATTTTCTCGAGATGGCAGAGTCTCGTGCTGATAACGTGTTATGAAATAAAGACAGTAAAGTAAAGACAAGTATAGAGAGAACTGATATATTATTCAAACTTCAAACTTATGTACATAATGAACTGAAGACTCCTCTATTTATAGAAGAAAGGAAGCAGCTGCGAGGCTTTTCAGGAAGCAGCTGCAAGGGTTTTCTTTAGCTGCTTGTAAGCTGTCTGCATGAGCTACTTGCAACCTACCTGTTTAATAAGAAGCTGCTGCAAATCATTTCATTGAGCTGCTTGCAACCTGCCTGCATCAGCTGCTTGTAGATAAACTTCAACAGAGTACTAAATAGAAGAAGATTATCTATAGCGGAGTAATAAATGGACATCCACAATATAATTAACAGATAAAAACTTATAGACAATATGCCTTTTCATATACACATTTCTAACTTGGTTAAGTAATACATATTCTTATTTTAATTTTTAATTATTAATTATTAATTCAATCAAGATATTGGGTGTATATAATAAGTATCTACCCAACTAATAGGGTGCTTCCGTGTAGCTCTAGTAATGTTTTAGATAAAGTGAGCCGTTGTAATGACCATCATTAGACAGATAATTTAGGATATTAATACTAAATTCAAACTAAATCAAATCAGCTAAGGTTTATTACAAGCAGACATAATTTAGTTTAGAAGAAAAATCCAAAAGAAAAAAAAAACTAGCCGTTGGAGTCGCCAATACTTCCTCTCTTTCTCTCACTTGAATCGGAAAATAGGTCGTTGTCTGAAACATAACGTTCCAATCTAACCATCGCCCTCTAATAACCCTTCAGAAGCAGCTGTATGTTTCTGCAAGAACAAATACTTGTTTAGGTTCCAAGAAGCAAACAGAAGAAAGAATTGGGTTTAAGAAATGGGTGAATCGACTTCAGCTTGTCTTGTACGGTCCTTCTCTCAACCTTCTCAAGAACGCAGTGAGGTTAGTCCAATTAACAAGATTCAAGTTTACTGCTTCAAGATTTCATGTATATTCTAATTATTTTGGTAAAATGTAATGTTCTGCTCCTTTGCCTTATGAACAATAAGAGGAATGTTTACTGCTTCGTGTCAATATTATATTGGAGGTTCTCTATTATTTCATTTCATATCTGAGTTGGGTCTGTTTAAATGCAATCTTCTCCACCTTTGCCTATGAGGGTTTAAGAATTTTTTGACTACTGAGTGGGGCTTTTGAGAATTCAAGCACTAGGTTTACTTTCCCCTTTGTGGTTTCTGATTCATCGTTTCTTTTAATAAAACGGTCATAACGCAACTGTCAATCCCAACTAGTTTGGTACCGAAGCATAGTTGTTATTCTTCTTGTTGGTGGTGTTGTTATCATCAATTCTCTATTGGATTCTCACGGTCTTTAAACAGTGGAATTCTAACAAGAGTATTCAAAAAAATGTAAAAATTGTCATATCTAGTAGGAGTATTTCTGAACCACTTTTGCCACTACACTAAATGCTTTTTACTTAATAATTTCAAGGGAATTCCAAAAAAAAAAAAATGTTTTTATTACCCTATTGCATAGAGTAATTTTCGGATGAAGGGGATTCAATTTAGTTACACGTGGTTCCGCCACTGTCTGTAAAGTCCCTAGAGTAGAGATTATATTTGTCCTTTCTGCTCAAACAGTAGCATTATTTCTCTTTATTTTAGGATTATGTTGTTGTTTCATAGTTTATGATCTATTTAAACTGAATTAGACATGGAAATTTCTCTCATTTGTTCTTTTCTATAAGCATGTTTGGGGAAAGTGAGTTTAATAGATTGAAAAATCAATTGATATGTGGGGAGTTTCTCATTTAGAAGCTGAGCAGGAAAATTCCTCATTACAGGGAGATCCTTTACGTGCACTAACAGCATCAGTATCATTTGGAAGATTTATGAATGAATCCCTGGCTTGGGAGAAGTGGTCATCGTTTACTCACAATCGGTATCAAGAGGAAGTTGAGAAGTACTCAAGGCCTGGTTCAGTTGCTGAGAAGAAAGCTTACTTTGAGGCTCAATTCAAGAAAGCAGCTGCTAAAAAAGCAGCAGCTTTGCTCGAGCAGCAGAATGCAGCAGTTGGCGTGTCCTCTGATCTGAATGTGACAAATCAAACCAGTGATCATTCCACTGTGAACCCTGAGTTGGCAGGGACAAGCAGTTATGTGGGTGCTGATGAAGCACAGAGAGAAGAGGGGGATGTGACAAATCAACCCATTGATGATTCCCCAATGGAATCTGAGGTCGCTGAAGAAGCACTGGGAGGAGAGGGCCATCTAAATGTGACAAATCCAAACCTTGATCATCGCTCAACCTGCTCTGAGTTGCCAGAGAATAGCAGCTATGTGGGCGTTGAAGAAGCACAGGGAGATGATGGGGATAATACATCTACTTTTGGCAGCTATGCTACTCACAAAAAAAGTAACTTAGAACTTGCTGAGACTGAAAACTCAGCAGAACAATCTTATCCAATAGAGAATGAAGTCAAGTCATTGAATCAGGCGGAAAATGTTGTTGTAAAGGTCAATGAGAATATAGTCCAACTGAAGAAGAAGACGCAAACAAAGGTTTGTCTTTTAGCATTGCATAGTGCTTCTTTCTCTTTTATGCTAAACTCGAATTCCTTCATTTCTAATTGAACATGCTTCAATCTTGTAGAAACCACTGTCCACAACGAGTAGATTAACAAATAACAATGAATCATCAAAGTTGAGATCTCGTGTCAAACCGATGACAGCTCTGCCACTGAAAGTGACTGATAATAGAAAGAATGGAAAAGACGCGATTGACAAAAAGCGATCAAATCCAAAATCTCTTCAGACGCTAATCAAATTTTCTTCTCACAAAGAGGAAACAAATAAAACATTGTCTCCAATTCTTGAGAAGATAGTGAATTCAAGACTTGTCAGATCCATCACCAAAACATCTAGAGACAGCAAAGTTCAAGAGATTTCAGCTCTGGTGCATTAATTGTTCTTTGTCCTTAATTTCTCCTGGATTCTTGCTTTCAGTTATTTGATTTGATCATGCCATATGCGTCTGCAAAATGCAGGCATCTGTAAGTGAGATATCAAAGCGCACTTCTGAAACCCCTCAACGAGAAAATAGAAGGTAAACTACATACTATTTAAGAACTGAAAGAGCAGGTGAATGAAGACGACAGAGCATTATAATGTTTTTTCCTAAGCTGTGGCTTCATTATTGACAACAGCAGTCGACGATCATTAGTGATCTAAATGTTTTACTGAAAGGGTCAAACTCTTTGCTTTTGCAGGAATACAACAAAGATTGACCAACCATTCTGTAGAAGCAGAACAGAAAAGGGTGAATTGCTATCACACTCAGGGTGAGAACTTCTGGCAACAAATTTGCCTTTTTTACCATTTGGTTATTGAATTCAGTTTGATAAGGACCTTCAGTTATCTGTTGAGGAGAGAATGTAAAGTGAGCTTTCTTTTGTTTATATGCATGCTCTTCAAGATTTGACTTTAATAATGGTTCCAGTTCTCTACATGTTTTTGTAAGTGAAGCGCCTTTCTGCTTTATTTGATATAGTTAGTTTTTAAGTTTTACAAGTAGAGGCAAATAAAAGGTCATGCTGCAAACAATGATTGATTTTACCTAACAATTTACTTTGTTGGGCCATTTTGAGCTGAAGCTATTTACCTTTTGGAGCAGAAATTTTGAATCAATAAACGAGAATGGAAACAGAACATGTTCCCGTACTGTATTTTCTCCTTTCAGCTTAAGAAGTGAAGAAAGAGCAGCAAAGCGAAGAGAGGTACATGAAGAGCTGATCAACGTCTATGTTTCTGTTCGTTCTTTGATTTGTCTAATCTGATCGTGCACTTGTAATCTGTTCAACTTCAGTTCTTTCAGAAGCTAGAACAAAAGCTGAACACAAAGGAAGCAGAAAAGCAGAAGCTACATGCCAAACCAAAGGTCATTTCCATCACTTTGTTCCAGAGGAATAACATATGTGAAATATAGGCTCACTATATGGTACTCATCATAAAATTAGGGCTGGACCTAACAGTCTTCCTCTCTCCACTAAATGAGTAAGGAGGTGAAGAATAGATTTTAGATCACCAAAGACATGAAATTAACTATTTTGCAGACCATCTCACTATATCCATGAAATATATACTTTTTCCAAATTAATATCATCATTAACACTCCTCAACTCTAGCAAGTAGAGGATAAATAAGACTACACATCAGGGCTGAACTGGTCTCATGTGCCTGAGCAGAGAAGAAGATGAATTTTTTTGGCAGTATGCTAATGAGAGTTGATTTCTCATTTTTACAGGAGAAAGCCACCAGTAGTTCTAAAGAATTTATATCAAGAGCTAAACCAACTCCAAGTATTCATCATGAAAGAGAATCATTTACTAATCAAACGAAAAAGGTACTATTCCCTTTTCCACTGACAAGCTGGTTGTCACCATTAGCAGCAACATCGTTGAATCAATGAGGCGGAATTGAAGAAGATTGAATTTCTTTTGCTAGTTATGCCAAGGAGAGTTGTCTTGTTTTTGCAGGTGAAAGCCACTAGTAGTTCTAAAGTGCTTACATCAAGAGCTAAACCAAATGCAAGCATTCAGCATGAAAGAGAATCATTTACTAATCAAACGACAAAGGTACTATTCCCTTTTCCATGACAAGCTAGTTGTTACCATAAATCAGCAACATCGTTGAATCATTGAGGTGGAATTTGTTCATGCTCCTGAGCATTGAAGAAGATTGAATTTCTTTGCTAGTTATGCTAAGGAGAGTTGTCTTGGTTTGCAGGAGAAAGCCACTAGTAGTTCTAAAGTTCATACATCAAGAGCTAAACCAAATGCAAGCATTCATCGTGAAAGAGAATCGTCAAGTAATCAAATGAAGAAGGTACTCTTGTCTTTTCCATTGGCAAGCTAGTAGTTACCATTAGCTTGCAACCTTGTTGAATCAATAGGGTGGAATTGGTCTCATGTGTCTGAGCAGGGAAGAAGATTGAATTTCTTTTGACAATGTTAAAATATCTAAAGAATGTGTCTAGATTCGTAAAGGTCTAGATTTATTGTACTTGAATAGAGAAAATCATACAGCATTTATACATATCCTTAGACTTGTTTAAAAGGAGCACCTCTTATACATTATTAATCAAGACAATGGGAAACTTTTCTATTTTCACATGGTAGCGAAGTCTCCATTGTCTTGGTCGAGACTTAAAGAGCTAACGGTACCGCAGACTCAAAGAGTTTCTGCTACTGGCAGGCGGTATTGGCCAATACGTGTACTGCCAGCCAAGCCAGTATTCTCTTCTTTTCTTCTTCCTTTTGGTGCCCGAAGACGCCCCTGTATTCGGTAACCGGTACTCCTATCTCTGGTCGACCGTTCAGGTGTTGCTCCTCTCTCTAGGATCATTCGACCACCCTTCATCTCTTCAGCAATCGGTGCTGCTACTTTTTACGAGATCAATTCCCTCCTCTAACCTTGAATTTCTAGTTATTGTTCTGTCAATTCAAATTACGTTGATAATGTTCATGAGATCTGCAACACCTAATCTTTTCGGTTATCGAGAACAGATTCTGGAGGAAAGAATTCCAACACTGCTTTTCTTTTTGGTGATTGGGAGATTTCTACATCAACTTCTTATCATTTCAAAATAAGCAAACTGAAGTTGATTTCTCCACTTTGAGTTAAGGGGGGCATGTTAGAATATTAAGTGAATATGTGTCTACATTCATACACGTCTAGATTCATTCTATTTGGATAGAAAATCATGCAGAATTTATTTGTACATAGCCTAAGACTAATGTATAAGGAGAACCTCTGTACATTGTTAATCAAGTCAATGAGAAGCTTTTCTATTTCACAGGCAGTATGCTAAGGAGAGTTGTCTCATTTTGCAGGAGAAAGATACTAGTAGTTTTAATATCAAGTGAATATGTGTCTAGATTCATACAAGTCTAGATTCATACACGTCTATATTCATTCTATTTGAATAGATCATACAAAATTTATTTGTACATAGCCTAAGACTAATAATATATAAGGAGCACCTCTACATTGTTAATCAAGTTAATGAGAAGCTTTTCTATTTTTACAGGCAGTATGCTAAGGAGAGTTGTCTCGTTTTGCAGGACAAAGCTACTAGTAGTAGTTTTAAAGTGCTTACATCAAGAGCTAAACCAAATGCAAGCATTCATCATGAAAGAGAATTGTCAAGTTATCAAATGAAGGTACCATTCTCTTTTCGTCTTTGACAAAACTAGCTGTTATTAGCAGTAACCATATGAAATTGATAGATATCCCATAGACGTGTCACTTGTTGAAGACCAATGTCAAGGATACTAGACAAAGTCTTCTATGCTGCTGAAACTGTAAACGTTTTGGTTCTCACCTTTATCCATCTGCTGTTTGCAGATGCCGCGGCAACCTTGCTCACCAAAATTCAGTAGGAAGCCAGTGTCAGAAGTCCAGGACAACAAACGTCGACAACCCTGGAGGCTTTTGGGGAAGCCTGATGGATCAAAAGATGTTAAAAGGGAAAACAACGTTCCAAATCATTTCCCAGTGAAAGGTAGATCACACAATCCCAAATCTTTTGTCCGTGGGAGTACGCAGGAAAATGCTTCGCCAAATATCCAAGTTTAAGACAGCTGCTGATCCATAAAGAGCATTTTTTTCCTAACATTAAACAAAATGCTGCTGCTTTTCAATTTTAAAGTTGCGGAGGCTGCAGATTGTGCATACATCACTTATAGGTTGTTAAGACATTGCTCCAAATGTCTAATTCAATTGTCTTTCCAGTCGAGTGGTGAAATTCTGCATGTTCCATTTATCAATATTGATATTGACACTCCTATCACAATCATTTGTTGGACAACAATAGAATGTAAATAATATATGCTTTTGGTCTTGGCTGACTTGTAATTTTAATATTCCTGGGTGATGATGTTACTTAAATGTTGGCATCTTATCAGCTAATACAGAATAAAGATACTGATTGAGTTTGTGACAGGACCAAAATCAAGCTTCATGGTATGGCACCTATGTTACAGAATAAAAACATTGATTTTCTGGAGATTTTATGACTGGGCCCAAACTCCAGCAGTTTCTCTTTCAAATCTTGCAAAACCTTCATCATACTAGTAACAATTTGCAGAAGCTCCTTTTTTCTATCTCTTCTCTGATTATCTTTTACGACCAAAGATGAGTACATCTGGAGGGATCAGCGTTGCAGCTTGGTAGTTGCAACTCCACCTCGCACAAGGGTTCCAATCTCATTTTTACACGGAAAAAAAAAAAAGAGGAAAAGAAAAAAGAGGATGAGCACATTTGCATGCTGACCCTTTCTAAATCTACTTACAATACCAGATAATTAAGCATGCTTTGATGAGTAAGTTCTGTCCAAGAAGATTGCTTATTGTGCTAAAAAATTTGCCAATGCTCGTAAAGTACATTTTTGTGAAGATGATCTTCCACTCCACCAAAATCAAAAAGCACTTCTTTGTTTTTTAGTTGAGAAAAACATGGCAGTTGTCGATGAGCAATGCACATCTAAATGGATAAAGGTTAGACTATGAACAGACCTTGGTCCAACACAATACCTTCCAATGAATCATTTGGATACTCATAATCAAACCTCAATGTATCATACAAGCATGTTGAAACTCCAGAAATGGGTTGTGGTTCATTGTAGTGAAATTGTTGTATGTTCCGAAGACCATTATAAGCTGGAAAACATTCACCTTGAATAGAAGTATCACACATGTCCTCAGCTAGAGATGCAACAACTGATCCACTTCCCAAAGTTACATTTCCTGTGCTCGATTGCAGACCATTGACTAGATTTTGATCTACATTTTGACTCGTCATACTCCATGTACTTGGAATTTGCTCAAGGGAATGAAAATTTATTTGATGGCTCACAGGTTGAATGGCTTCCAATGCAGATAATTTTCCTACTCCACTTGTGCTCTTGAAGAAAGAAGAAAGCTTATTTTCTTTACCGGAAAGTCTGTCCCACTCCCTCATTTCATGAGAAGGTACAAGGTTGAGAGAACAAGTTGGTTGTGTGCAATCCACTTGGATTTGATGAGGAATCCCGGGCAGTGGCTGATTTTCTGACGGAAAACGTGGTTTGAAATCTTGTTTGTATTGAGGTTGTGGAGCTTCTCCAGTAAAGCAATATGGAGTGGGTACATCGACACTTTTTACATCAGTATTGATCAATCCACTGAGGCTTGTCTTTGAACCAGCAGTGTGAGAATCAAAGTTATCTCCAACCACAGACCCCGGCTCTGCTACTGGGATTGAAACAACACCTTTTACCTTGCTCTCATATATGTTGGACTTACAATTTTGAGCAATAGCTTTACTACACTTGTCATTTGTAACATCAGCGCACACATCCACTGGATTCTGAAGAGAATTTTCTTTAGAAGAAACATTCGGATGCTTCATCCCACCTTTCTGCAACCTAGTCAAGTATAGGCGATACTTCTGCAAGAAAATGATACTGTTGTGAGAACCTTTTTACCCTTAAGTTTACAAAACCTCAATTTCAAGAAGCAGAGAAGACTACTCGTGTTATATATATAGTAAAAGAATCAAATCCTAAGGTTACTTGCAAAATAGTTACTTGCAATCTTCTGGCAGGTGCCTTTGCTGTAACTGGATCTGATTTTTGAAGAAACTAATTAACCAAATCTGATGACAAGTGAAGTGGCTGTAAATGTGTAAAAATATTCACCTGTAAGTGGCTAGCAACATTTTCTCTAGTCAACCATGGAACAGCCATCAAGTCAAGTATCTTCTTGGGACCAGCTTCTGCGGAACATAAAAAACATTAATTAACGCAGATCTGATGAATGGAGTTTAGGTAATTTATATGAACTTACTGTGAAATCCAATCTGGTTTACGGCTTTGACAAATTTCTGATGAAGATCTACAGTCCAAACTACTCTGGGTTTCTTCATGGAAGAAGAATGAACACTAATTTCTTTATCGTCAAAATCTTTTCTCTTGTTGCCTGAATCAGTTCCATTAAACATCCACAGTTGATCAAATAGGTCCATTTCATGGTTTCCGATGTCCCTTGCCTCGTGCATCCTTTTTCTGAGCACATGCTGCCATATGTTTCTAAGTTCTTTCATCCGTATAGGTTTCAAGAGATAATCACATGCACCGTGTTGAACGCCCTTCATTACCCTGCTTGTTTCTCCATCGACAGACATCACTGCAAGAAATTAAACCAGCACATATTATGTATTAATGGAGAATAGCCAATTTCAAGGAAAGGAACGAGAATTGACTTATGACAGGAAGATCCATCTCTAGTCCAACATGCTCCAGAAGCTTAAATCCATCCATGTCAGGCATGTTAACATCACTTATCACAATCTCAAACCCATGATCCTTTCTTTCTCGGAGAAGATTCAAAGCCTCTTGTGCTAGACCACATGTCGTCACTGCAAGAAACCAGCAAAAAGAGATTAAGAGATCTACAACATTAATCTAAAACAAAATGATCATGAAAACGAATAAATTAAAAGAAGAGACCTTCATAAGAGCACTTCTTAAGCATCTTTTCAAGAATTTTCAACCAGGTAGGATCATCATCAACAACAAGTACCCGTAAACCAGCCGGAAAATTATCACTTCTTGGAGAAGAAAACCCTGCACTGCTCTTACTATTCTCCATCATAAAACAGCTGAAAAAAACTCGGACCTGCAACACTTACTACCATATACATATATAAATAGGAATAAACAAAGCCAATAATGCTTTGATATGTGATAAGAGAGAGAGTGCGAGTGAGAGTGACAGACTAAAAAAGGAAGCTGTGTGAGACTTTTTAAATGGAAAGGTTTAGAATGAGGGAAACAACCAGCATTTTAGCGCCGGCTATCTCTATCTCGTTATAACGTCGTCTATGACTTGGCACTTTTTTTTTCTTCAACTCTTCAAATATAAATTCATAAATTGCATTTGTGATACCTAATTTATAAGAATAGCATGTCTTACTACTTCTCTCTTCTTTTTTTCCCAATTTTGATCCAACTTTCAACACCGTTATCAAAATATATAGGACTTCATTTCAACAACATTAGTTTAATTTTCACTTCTTTTTTTTCACCTTGCAAATTTGATGAGCATCTTTTAGGATTCAAAACAAGTTTAAATTTACAAATCTTGTGTGTGGGCATATTAGAGCACTTAAACAATAAAAGGAAATAAATTTTATCATAAATATATATTGTTGAAACAAAAGAAAATGTATTATTATATCAAGAGACTTAAAATTATTTTCTTCCTAAATCTCTTTTTAACTAGTTGATCCTTTATCTACCACAAGAAGACTAGCATATCGTTAAAAATTTACAATTAATTTTCAAGTTCTTATTTTAATTTTCCAGATTTTCAATACATTAGAAAATTGGTAACTTTAGTTTTAAGAAATCATTATATCCGCTATGGTCAGGTTAGAAAAATTGTAAATATCATTTTCATACCTTTTTCAATTATAATTTCTTTTTCTCTTTTTGTATAGTAACAAATGAATGCATTAAATCTTCTTTTCAAGTTTGAGATATTTATTTTATTTGTTCAAGTTACGGTTAATTATTAGTTCTCCGATGGAGATATTCTTTAATTACCGGAAAAGTACCATCTAAATAAAAAAGTAACAACTAATATGTGAAAGCAATCATTTGATCCTTATGTTCATTGTTTGAACTTTTTAATTAGATAAGGGAAAATATGACTATTTCCTTGTATGGTGATATTAAGAATTCAATAAATCTCCTTTCCATGTGGATTTAACTTTGACTAACAGTTAGGACTTTAAATTAAATTTTATCAAATTCATATTTGCCAACAAGAATTTTTATAACAAGAACTAATATAGTATATTGTAACAAATGGCAAACATTTATTAATTAACCTGAAACAACACCAAGTAAATAATTAAATATTAGTACTAACAAATATCCTTTATGAAGCTAAATAATGTATGCCTTGGTATACTTGAATTTTTATTTTAAAATTGAAGAAAATGAAAAATTCATGTCAAATTTTCACACTGACCTTGGATATGCAACAATTCAAACTTGATATATACGTATTTAATTTTTATCTTATAGTACATGTGATGTACATACTATAATAATAATAATAATATAATCACTTCTTGAAGAAGAAAATCTCGCAATGGTCGTACTATTCTACATCATAAAATAGCTGGAAAAGACTCCAATTTGAGGAGAATACTGGAGTAAAGCTAGGACTAGAACTTAGTACTAGTACTTTTATAAATAGGAATAAATAAAAGTTATAATCTTATCCTCCTTTATTTTGTATTTTGATGTGTGATGTGTGTGAGAGAGAGAGTGAGAGGGACACACTAAAACGAATTTTGAGAGAGACCAAAAAGGAGTATGGAAGTTTTGTGGGTTTTTGAGGGGATAGAATGAGTGAAACAATCAAAATATTTGGCGTCAGCTATTTCTTTAGTTATAACGGTCTCTGTAGGACTTGAGTTTTTTGTTTCCTTTTTTTTTTTCCTTTCAAATTCAAATATTTATCTATACGAATAGTATATTTTTGATACCTAGCTTATGAGGGCAGTACGTTTTTCTCTCTTACTTTTTTGAAATATGCAATTCATTTTCAACTTTAATTTCTACTAGACTTTCAAAAATAGAATTTCATTTAAATGACATTAGTTTTTGATGGGAAAAATTTATATACCTTGCAAATGACGCTCTGCTGAGCCTATTTTAGGGTATATTATGTGCGGCCATATTGGAGGACTTAAACAATAAAAGGGAATAAATTTTCTTGTTGAAGCAAAACAAAAATGATGTGCTATATCAAGAGGCTCAAACTTAAAAGTATATGAGAGGTAAACAATAGATTTTGGAACTAATTGATGATTTTTGAGATTTTGAACTCACAAAAAGACTATTATAAATGTTATACCTAAGTTTCAATGATGACAATAGTACAAATCTAATCTAAGTTACTTGATTGCACGAAATTAGGATGACAATGCTAAATAAGAGGGAGCCAAAGGAAATCAAGATGTCAAGGCCATCAAAAAGGAAACAAGATCAAGTGCAGCCGTTATGAGAAGCCAGTCCATATTTCAAGGATCAGTTTGGTAAAAGAAATCGGAAGATTCCGATCAATCAAGTCAAGTCGCAAATCACTCCCTTAATCAGGGATGCGAAAAGGAAGGAAATCATTGAATCCAGCCCATCTCTTGAGAAAGATTCAGAGGCAACCCTTGGGTTAAAACTCCTAGAATATTCTTGCCTCAATCAATGGTCAATCGACAACGGCTAGTTCAAAAAGAAGATTGCATGATCTCAAGACTCTAATATAAAAAGACTGAAAGGCTCAAGGAAAAATTATGCAACTTCACTGTTTCTATACCTTTCTAGTTCTTAGTACAAATATTATATTCCTGAGTTTACAAGTGTCATAAAAGATAGGAAGAGTTAAAAAACAAAACAAGAGTTGTGTCAAATTTAGACAAATAGTGTTGCTAAAAATAGTTGGTGGTTAACGATCCAAAAACCACTATTGTTGTAACGAATTATAGAAGATTTAAGATAACCTTTGTGACCCAAGGGAACTGGATGTGTGTACCACACCGGTACAGAATCAGTATAAAACTTGTGTGTTCTTACCTTTAAATTCTACGCAATTTATTTTTGTTGCAAATCAAACCTGCTGAAAGAGTTGAGTCGACTGATTCCTTTTTAAATCCACTAAGTTTTTAATTTGGCTACAATTCATCCCCCCTCCTTGTACTTTCAATTGGTATTAGATCAAGGACTCACAAGTATTGCCTAACAACAAGTGAGGAAAAGATCATGACGTCAAACACAGTCGTTGGAGCACTATTTCAAGAAGGAACTTCTTAGGTAAGACCACCCTACTTTAATGGTCAGCACTTTTCACATTGAAAAGTGCTTATGGAAACCTATACGATGTCATACGATATTAAAGTATGTCGTATGATCAAAAAGGAAAATCTTCCAATTCCACCAAGGAAAGATAAAGATGGGGAGATCATAGTATTATCTGATTCTCTTGATTTAGATGATTACATTAAAGAACAAGCAGTCATTATTCAAGTGAATGTTAAGGCCAAGAATCTCCTATATAACGCCATAAGCGGTGAAGAGTATGAAAAGATATTAAGTTGTGAAACTGCTAAAGAAATGTGAGACAAGTTAGAAGTCATATATGAAGAAACCAATAAAGTGAAGGAAATAATAATAAATCTCCTGGTGCGTGACTATGAATTATTTCAAATGAAAGATGGAGAATCAGTTGAAGAAATGTTCTTTCGATTCAGTAAAATTCTTGAGGATTTGAAATCTTTTGGTAGACCAATCAGAAGTGCAGAATAAGTCAGAAAAATACTAAGAAGTCTACCCACCATTTGGAAACCCAAAGTTATTGCTCTTGAATATTAGGACCTTAACAAGATGCCATATGATAAACTTAGAGGTGATCTAATTACTTTTGATAAAACCCACTTAGACATACAAGTTCATCAAGAGAAAAGGAAAACAGTTGCATTTAAAGCAACTGTTACTGAATCAGAAGAAGAAGAAGAAGAAGAAGAAGAAGGAGGAGGAGGAGGAGAAACAGAAGAAGGAGGAGAAGGAGGAGGATGAGGAAGAAGAAGAAGAAGAAGAAGAAGAAGAAGAAGAAGAAGAAGAAGAAGAAGAAGAAGAAGAAGAAGAAGAAGAAGAATGAGAAGAAGAAGAAGGAGAAGCAGAAGAAGAAGAGGGAGGAGAAGGAGGAGGAAGAAGAAGAAGACGCAGAAGCAGAAGAGGGAAAAGGAGGAGGAGAACAAGATGAAAACATAGCAATGCTCTCCAAAGTAATAACAATCATGATGAGGAGAAATAGAAATAATAGAAAAGGTAACCCAAATTTCAGAAAAGGGAAGATGGGAAATGAAAATGAAAAAAATGATGGAAGATATTATGAATGTGGAAAATACGGACACATTCAAGCAGAATGCCCTGAACTGAAAAAGAAACTCAGCAGAAATTTCCAAAAGAAAAAATTATTTGGAGCATGAAGTGATGAATAAGAGTATGATCATGAGTAAATCGCCAACATGTACTTCATGGACATAAATGATAATAGTGATGATGACTCAAGCGAGCTGGCTCTCATAGTAGATGAAGGAACAAGTGAGGTACGTTGACCTATGTGTCCTAAATATAATGAACTTCAAGAATTTATTGATATTGCTCTTGAAGACATTGAGAAGGTTCTAAATGAGCTTCGAAAGATTTAACGAGAAAAGAATACTAGGCCCTAAACTTGAAGTGTGTGAAATCGAAAAAGACATGCTTCAAGAAGAAGCTCATGAACTTTAACTTCAACTGAATGGATTGAGAAAATTCACCAGTCACAGTACCATAAAATCTAACCAGTCAACTCCTCGTAATAACACATTTAGGGCATGAACTCCTACTGCATGCATTCATTGTGGCAAAAATGGTTACAATTCTAACCATTGCAGGTTTAATGATAGCAGAGAAAAGACTTCTGAAAGTCTTATTAATCCATCTTGTTTTTATTGCGGAAAATCTGGTCATACTTCTGATCATTGTAGGTTTAAGAACAACAAAAGATGGGTTTGGCGACCTATGGCCTCTAACCAGGCTAACAATCAAAACACTAACTGTTCAGGACCCAAGCAGGCTTGGGTACCTAAAATCAATTAATTTATTTTTGCAGGAACACCACAAGAAGAATCAAAAAGGGAAATGGTATCTTGATAGTGCATATTCCAGACACATGGCATGTGACAAATAATTATTCAAATATGTCACTAAGCTCGATGGTGGATATGTCACTTTTGGAGACAAATCAAAAGAAATTTAATT